TGACAAATTAATTGATTGAAATTCTTGTAGCGAAAAGAAAAAATGAGAATTTAAACCCTTTATGTTAATTGTTTTGTCTATTGCTTTATGAGCTTTTTTCAACCATACTAAAAAAAATAAATTTGAAATTATGTGCAAATTAACGTGAAAACACTTAATGTTAAACAAAGAAGTAACCAAGTGAAAAATGACATAATAAGAATAAGACAATCAATGAATACATGTTACTAATATTTTTTTAAATGGCAATGCTAATAAATTGAAATTAAAGAATTGTGAATGGATATAAAATTGATTTAGAAGTTATATAACGACAACTTTGGCACAGTGTAATTATGTGTCAACATCAACAATACATGAATTTTTTTTCTTTGGTCGGCTAACAAAGTAACAATGAGAAGTGGAATGATAGAACAGAAGGCTAAAATATAAAATTTGCAGAGGGGAGTGGGGCATCAGGTGGGCTGGGTTATTGTCTAATTATTTTGATTATAACAAATGTTTTTACTGTTATTTTATAAGTTTATAATTTTTATTAAATAATTAATTATAATAATTAAAAATATTTATTTATAGTTTAATTATAATATATTAAATAATAAATATTAATTATTTTATTAATTATTAATTATTTTAATAATTAAATTAAATTAAAATTTTAACAATTTAAATAATCTCAATAAATTTAATTTTAGGGTCATTACAACCATAGTGGAGTATATAAATAGGAGCAGCAGCAGCGCACGTGTTTCGTGCGTGCGTACGTGTGTGGGGATGTGTTTGGTAGGAACTAGAAAGTGCCTGTCTCATAAGGGCCTTTCATCTCTCGTCTAGTCGTCTGCGTTAAGACTTAAGCCCATAATAATCCTCCCCCTCCGCGCTACTGGGGGTGAGATTTCCCCCCTTTTTTTATTTTTAACAATTTTGGTATAAATTATATTTGATATTTAATTTAAAAAATTTTAAATATAATTATTTAGATTTGATATTTATTTAAATACTTAAAAATTTTTATTTGGTACTTAAGTCAATAAATATTAAGTAATTTATAGATATATATTTATATATTTGGTTTAAAAAATATATTAATATAATATGTTATCATTGCCTGTATTATATATTTATTTAAATACTTAAAAATTTTTATTTGGTACTTAAGTCAATAAATATTAAGTAACTTATAGATATATATTCATATATTTGATTTAAAAAATATATTTAATATAATATGTTATCATTGCCTGTATTATATGTTTAGTTTAAAATTTATTATTTATATTAATTATTATCAATATGTGTGTGATTTATATAATTTATACATCTTATTAACTTTTATTTTTATTTTTTGTATTTTATTAATTTTATTTTTTATAGTTATTATTATATAAATATTAAATATAGTAAATACATATTAAATTTTAATTATACAAATATGTGTTACAAATTAATTAAATAAATCAAATAAACAATTTTAAATCCTAATATTTATTATTTAATTTAATATTTATAAATATAATTAATAATTTAAATAGTTCAATAATCATCTCTTTCCGTTAAAAATAAGAGATTTTAAGTTCAAATTGTATGACATGCCGGTAGAGTAAAATAAGAGATGAAAGATGGTTGTTCTCAATTGTGTAATCAAAATAAAATATATATTTATATTTATATTTGTAAATATATTTTTTTTTATTCATTATTTATTATTTTTTTTCTACTATTTGGATAGGATACTTATCCCTTCACCCAATTCTCACGTCTACGCGCCATTATTCAACTACTTTCAGAGTAGTACTGTGACCTTATTAAATTTCC